TGCGAAATAAAATTTGGCATCAACATTATTCATACCTGTTCTCCCGTCATTTCAAAAGTGAATTTTGAGCTTTGCCTGCGTGCGCAGCTTTTCAAACGGGAGACAGACGAACACTCGGACAGACATCAGGTTTCGCAATATATAGAATATTGTCTTCATTGATTCTCATTTATATACTTAGGTTATTATGTTATTTTGATTCTGATGTATAAGTTTAGACTTACTTTGGCCAGAAGTTGTTAATAATCATTATAATATTTAGAATAATTAAAGGAATAAACATTGGATTTTATATAAAGTTAAACTTATTCTTTTGCGTTTTTCATCACCTTTATGATATAGTGTTATAAATGTTAGCAATGGTTGCAAATATAATACTTTTTTTTTATTCCTGTAAACTCCCAGTGGAGCATAGGGTCGTAACAACACCTCACAGAAAGTTGTTGTTGCAGTTACTTGTAGCAGGTTGGTTTTTACGGGGTGGAGTTGCTAGTCCCGCGCCCAACCCTCCTCCTTTCTCATCCTGGACTTGGGACCAGACAAAGGCGGAGGTTGGCGTGTTTGGTGTGACGGGGATTCGAACCCGCGACCCTCAGATTACTAGTCGAGCGCCCTAACCACCTGGCCATGCCGGGCCCAACATAATACTTACACTATTTCAAACTGAACTTTTACATGGACATTTACTTTTTTGATATAGAAACACACGAATATCATAAACGGTATCTTCAAATATAGACCAATAGATGATTTTTTTGTGTGTTATGGCTAAAATTGATATTAGGTACTCACGTTTTGAAGTTTTAAAACAGGCATATATATATATATAACTTTTAATAGTTTCCACTGCTCTGAGTTTATGGATGTGCTGAGTAATTAAATCACATTCTATCAAATGTCTAGCATCAACAACTTAGCGTACCAAACATTCGTGCATTATTATATATGGTGAATCAGTGAATTATGGCAATCAGGGTATAATTAAGCCATTAAGAATTTAAATAAGTAAACATTTGATTGATTTTACTTTTACTTTGCAGATTTATTAAACCCCCAAATGTAACTGAATTTGCTGAACACTTTAAAGTGGAGATTAACAGTTGTTTTAACCTACAAGACAACAATAGAAGTGTTAAATAACAGATACGTTTCCAAATCTTGATGTACAATAAAAAATAACAGAAACAAAAAACAAATGTTCATATTATTTATTTCAGTAAATAACAACAAAAATATTTATCTTTTAGAATATAGGAGAACTAGACTTTACATACACATATGCACATAGATACAAATATATATATATATATATATATACACAAATATATATATATATACAAATATATATATATATACAAATATATATATATAC